TGTAGAGTTAGGAGCCGGCACCACTCCAGTAGACGTAACATCACACACAAATTTCAAGAAGTGAAGCAGGAACTAAATCTAGTTATACAAAACATGACGAAATGGGGAGAATAGAACGCAGTAAAGACAGGAAGCCATGAAGGAAGGCAGGAAAGACAAAACATTAGCCGTATATGACGTCACTTAAAGTAAAGGTGCTCCTTTTTTGATATGGAGGGGACTACGTACGTATCATATTCCTTGTCCATTAAAACTTTAATATCAACACTATTGCAAATAAGATCTCTTTCCATGAAATTTATAATAGAAAAAGGTGTAATATTTCTTCTACTGAGAGATTTTTAAAAGCGGTTAAGTGAATTTGATATRAAAATCACTTCTATTTCATCTCAAGCGTGAGAGAGACTTGTTTTTGAATTTTAATATAGTTCAAACAAATTGTCATGGCTAGAAAGCATGTGAAAGCATGTACTTAACTGTTTACTCTGTTGTATTCGTTTTCACATGATAAGGGAGAGTAGTCTTTGACATGAATCCCCTTTTCTACTAATAGTTTAAACTTGTCCTTCAAATTCAATAGGCCAATTATACAATTTTCTATCTTTTGTATTTACTAAGTTTGTTTATTTGGGTTTTATAAGCATGTTGCGGACTCGTTTTCAATGAAACTCACTTTTTCATCGGTTCGAAACAATCTTCTCCTTAGATTTCAATGGGTGAGCTATACATCAATCACTCAGATAATGTAATAACTGACTTCGTATATATCAGTTTTATTAGACATATTAGGGTGCAGTAAGAATGGATATTTCATTCGAGCGTGCATTTTTTTTTTTTTTTTTTGATTGAAGAAGAAAAGAAAAGGAAAAAAAAGACAAGTAAAAAAAGAAAAACCTTGGAAAATCGAGGAAGGATACGGGGACGATGATAACTCGTGGGTCTGCCTCGCAGACAACAGACACAGGGAAATAAGGGTAAAGCTATCGATGCAATCAAATATGGAGATCGTTTAACGTAAAACTGGGAAGGATTTAAAAATCAAGATAGCGAAGTTTTAACGTAGAATGTTGTCCTTGTCAATAGATTAAAAACACCTGCAACCCAGCACAGAAAAAAAGAAGCAAATTGCGTGTTACGAGATAAGACAAATGCACAAGGAAACACAAATACTAATTCACGTAGTAAGATTGTTTTTAACGTAAAGGCTTTAATAGTAATATCCTTAGCAATGGATGGGAAAACATGTACAGTAAAGAACGAATACCTGACAAATTCCAAACACTGAACGTTGAAAATACGCAAGAAAATATGGATAGTTATTTATAATTCACGTAGTAAGATTTGTAACGTAAAGACTTAGTGAGGGACTTAGTAATTAATTGACAAACATACAGTGAAGTGCAGATAGCTGGACCATATCACGTAATGTTAAATTGAAAACAAGAAAATATGAATGGCTATATAAAGTTTACATAATAACATTGTTTACGTAAAGACGTAGAGGTGTACTGAGCTATGGTTCAGCTATAGCTGAATTATAATAATAATAATAATAATTTTATAATAATAATTTATAATAATAATAATATGATAATAATAATAATAATAATTTTAGAATAATAATTTATAAT